TAGTTGCCCTCCTCTCTCCCAGCCTCTCTCTTCCCCTCTCCCACCTCCTTTTCCTAGTCTCCCCCAGTTTTGTTCAATAAAGACAGATTCCATTTTGGAAGACACGTTATCTTTATTTTGTACATTAGGAAGAGGGGCTAGGGAAGGGTAAGTGGAAGGACGTGAGGGAGGAACGGGGCACGAGCCCCCGATGGGGAGGACTGGGCTGGCTCTGCGGGCTTCTGGGGATGGAACCTCTCCTGCAGCCCCCCAATTACCCCTTCTCCCCAGATGGCAGCTTGCGGCAAGTGCAGCCGGGCTGATGGCTGAGTGCTGTGATGTGCCCAGTGTGGGCACTCAGGGCACTCCAAGCCAGGACTGCTTTGCAAGCGGGGCACCCCTGAGAACTGTCTGTCCGGGGTGGGGGTCGGGACCCTTTAAGCACAGCCCTCGGCTAGCCTGAGACAGCATCTCCACGCTCTAAGTCCTCCTCTGATGCCCTGCCGGCACTGCTTCCGGCCATCCTTAAGCCTGGTTCAGGGTCCACTTAATGTGGATGCGCTAGTTCGAATTAGGAAAATGCTAATTCGAACTAGTTTTTAGTTCTAGATGCGTTAGTTCGAATTAGCTTAGTTCGAATTAACTAATTCGAACTAAGTTAGTTCGAATTAACGTTGTAGTGTAGACGTACCCTGAGTGAACTTTGGACTTTCCATCTATGGTAAATTCTGACATTTCATCATTTATTTTTGTCCTTACAGAAGATGAAAAGTTGAAATTTAGAAACTTATCGTGGAATGGAAAATCTGAAAAATGTAAATGAATAAATATCTAAACATTTCATTTTGAAATTTTAAATCAAAACAAAATATTTCAACATTCCCAAATTTAAATATTTAATGTTGGTTTGTTGAAATGATCCCAAATGCTTGTTTTCAGCATTACCCTATATTTTCTTATGGAAGCACATTGCATTATAGGAGGTGCAGCACAGCAGAGAGTCTGTCCCAAAGGGAGAAAAGGGACATCAATGTCCCAAACATTTCTCACAATGTAATGAGAATCATGTGACCACATCTCTGGGTCAGAGTGAAATCAGCACATTGCCTTATGAAGTCCAGTCCATATGAGAGAATATGGACCAGAATTACAGCTCCCTTAAGATAATGTTCCATAATAATATAAAAATAGTTTAATATTTTGTTGAATTTAATGAAACCCAACCCAAAATTATATATTTAATTTCATATTTCTTGATGGAAAATTGAAAATGTTAACCAAAATAACAGTTTTCTTCAAGAAAATTTCAGTGTTGCACCAATTGCATTTTCCATTGGAAAATCATTTTTAAGGAAAATTCCTGAACAACTGTAAACATAGGCTTAGCAAAGGAACTTCTTAGCCATAGAAACTTTACTCTGAACTCAACAGAGGGCTACAGATTTTGGAAAACAAGTGTCCTGATACACCTCTCCCTTAGTCTGACATCAGCTCTTCTTATGACTCAAAAGTTTCCCAGTTATTTAAATTAGGAAGTGTCTCTTCTGCTCTCACTTGCCTGCCAGTCCTTTTTATATGTGGTGATGGTTGCTCCTTTTCTCTTGCACACAGAAGCTTCTGCTCTTATGTAGGTCTCTGTTTCTTTCATTTGAATTCCACTAGGGACCACCAGTTTTCCTCTAGTCAACTTCCCTCCAATCAAGTGCCCCTGACACTTTTGTGGAAAATCATTTGTTCTAGGGGGACAGGCTGGTAGTTGAGAAACAGATTCGATGGCTCTAATTTTGATGGCGTCTCAGGATCAGTGAGGTGTCAAACCTTTTTCCCACCTACAGCAGTAGTCTGGAATAGATAAAAGACTACCCATAGGTAAGTTTAGTTATATGTTCAGCACGTAATACAAAATGGAGTTCATCATTTGATACACACATATCTCACTCTGATACAACACATTCAATAGCTCCACAGACTACATGGACAGAATACCTATATAAAAGATGTGTAGCACAAAATAGCCATTTATAGCTTGAAAGCACCAGTAGTAGCACTGAGGTGGCTGTATAGGTGCTCAGCATCCTAGCTCCAGGATGGGAAGGAAAATTTAATTTCTTCCCCCTATGCATTTTGATACAACTTGTCTGCTCAAAGAATATTTATTAGGAGTTGACTTGGGCAGACAATAAGAATTTGTCTCCAAGGTCTCCAATGTGCAATTGAGGAGAGATGATGAACATTTAGAAGAAAAACTTCAACTTGCCTAAGGTCCAGGTCCTAATTTTGTATTTTTTAAATGTTCTTTATATTATTATAACAAATTATTGTATTATATTTTATCTGCATAACATGGGTGTTTTAGAAATCACTGGAGTTTTTGGTTTTATGAAATATTTATTACTCTCCAATCTATTGTCACTAAAGAAGGGAAGCTAATTGATTTTGCATTCACTGTAGGATGTCTTTACTTTATCCTGTCTGAAATTTTTCACTGAATTGATTCTGAGGCTAGTCCCCCTGGAAGCTAGCACAGATGGCCTATTGCAATTGTCAGGCTATAAATGAATGTTGGGTCAGTTAAGGGATATTTTTTCATCTCTATAGATGAGAATTTATGATCATATAACTCCCAATAGTGCTAGTGGGAATTATATACTTTCACCTCCATTAAATAGTTTTAAGAATCTATCTCAATTGGCAGGTGAGCTACTGTAGTATGGCTTCCTACATTGTGAGCAGAAATAGAATTATTATTTTCTTTCTTAAGAAGTTGGTGTTAGGTACCAGCATTTTAATTCTTTAATTATGTTCAGATTTTTAAGAAAATATTTTAAGACAAGTACAAAAAAGCCTTAATGGTTACTTACTGTAGAAGAGAGTAGGAAAAATAAGAGATTCATTCTCCTCCTTAAAAATAAATATCTTTTTATCACTTGTCCAAGTTGAATGGGTGCACACTAGCTAAAACCAAAGAATACCAGAAAGAAGGAAGTGAAATAGGAGATAAAATTGGTGAATTATTTTCATATGTAGTAGGATACATAAAAACTGTAGTGTGGAGATTTTGGGCATACCATATATCATCTTGCCTTATGAGAGCATTATCTTTTGAGACAAGTTTAAATTTTACTACAGCTGTTCTCCAACATAATCACAATGAGCATGTAAGCATGTAGATTTCTGCGGAAGCTTCCTCTCTGAAAGTGTTAAGGGCTTCATCTTTTTTCAAATAGGATCAAATCCTAAGAGATTTGGAGGTGGAATGTGTCCAGATACAATTACAAATCCAGGTTGAAGAGATTTAGTATTACTGAGCAATAAAATTCAGCATCTGGGACATGGGAGGCATTCTTTCATGCTCTCCCATCCCATAATACAATATGTTCAGTATGTTGTCAGAAAGTATGCTTCACAGTGGTATGCAAAAGGATATCTATCTTTATGCTTATATCTACACATTTTATTATGGGTTTCCAATATAACCATCCTTACAATATAGAACTGTCTTTCTTTTTGTTTTACAGCAAACACTGTAATTATATCATGCATGGATGCTTGTTCATTAAGTAATGTCACCTTTCCACTCTGTGCTTATAACATTTCTTCCAAATGCCTGCAACAAAGAAGTCAAAAACAGAATGTTTTTTGGAAGATCTTTGTAAATTACTCTGATTTTCAAAATACTCCAAGTATTTCTCAAGTTTCTGGGCGTGGACTGCAACAATGTATTTTAAACTCAGCCTGTGAATCCAAGGAAGATATGAATGTTGTTCATCAAGGACCAAGATCAGAAGGTAAACAAAAAACAGGGGAAAATAAGTTCTTAGTGTACCAGTTAATTATGCCAGTTAAAACATCATGAAAATGTAATATGCTGTATATTGCTCCTTTAATCATAACCTGCTGGAAAACTCCAGTCACCTGAAGAAGTGGGCTGTGCCCATGAAAGCTCATGATACCATCTACACGTTTTGTTAGTCTATAAAGTGCTACCAGATCATTTGTTGTTTTTAAAGTTTATGAATATAACTTGTTGGCCTTAGCAGCTTGTTTTTGCATTGCTACAAAATGCATAATTAATGCAAAAATGGTTTTAGGAACGTATCTTGGATTTATAGTGAGGACAGTCTGTGGTCTGGGCCCCCCTAGGCTCTGATGTGTGAGGGGAATATGGGGAATATCTTTCTGCTTCTTAGTCGGAGGCCATGTCAGTGAGAGTTTGGGGGGGTTATTTTTGGTTTTGTGGGGTTTTTTTGGTTTGGGGTTTTGTTTGCTTCTCACTTGTGTGTGGCCTCTGACTGATTTTTCTGTGGGTCAGTGGCCCCTGACCCAAAAAAGGTTCCCCAACCTGGTCTAGATGATCCAAGAGTCACGTCCAGTTCAAACACCTACACTTTCACCTTTTTGTGGAGTTTAGTGTTAGTCTGTATTATCTTCGACAATGATAGATTCTTAAAAAAACCTTTGTAGCTGGTAAATAAAGTCACTAACAAGGAAAACACATTTTGTATTGCAAAATCAATACAACTCACATCTATTCTGAATGCTTATCATTACATATCTTTTTGTCCATTTTACAACTAGTCAGTAATGATGAGTCTTACTGTTTATTTATAGGAATGGAGTTGAGTAGTGAAATATGATACTTTTCTTTTGTAAGTACAAAGTGCTACAAAGCAGATCTTAATGTTTTTTATTTATTTGTAGCTCCAAACACGAGAGGATCATTAGAAAGGAAAGCAAAAAATTTTATTTCTTTCCATAAATATTTCAATTTCACTGTGGGTTATATGAATGACGAAAGTGAGGAATATAACATTTACTATATACTGGAAGTCCACATTAGAAATTCTACAACCAGCAGAGGAAACATTACGGAAGAAAACGTAAATCACTCATGCATAACAGCAATGATGGAAGACCAAAACAGCTGTATAAATATTTCACTGCAACTTCAGACATATGTGGAAAGTAAGTTATGAAAAGGGAATCTGGGGAAATCAAACATGTAACTAACAAAGATCTTACACTATGGAATGAAAACTTCCAATAGTCAACCTTAAGCCTTTCCAATAGGCAGCCATATGCAACTGTTTGAAAGCATTTCCCCCTTTAGTGAAGAGCCATGTCTGCAAGGCAACAGAGAACACCTAAAGGTAGATCTGCTGTATATTTTTGGAAACAAGCCAAAAACACTAACATTGGTACTTTTGGTTAACATTTTTTTTACTTATAGTTCAGTGATTGATTGAATTTGTGTTTAACAAGAATGGATTTTTCTTAGTTGTCATTGATTTATTTTGCTAAAGTTTTTGGCACAGCCTTGCTCCCTATGAAGTAAATGGCAACATTCCTGTTGATTTCAGTGGGAAAAAAGGTATGCTGCAAAGTCAGTGTCATGATGAAAAGTTTCGCTTATATTCTAATCCAGTATGCTTCAGGAAGAAAGCTAGTCCAGTTAGTGAAGACAATTTTGTTGTGATGACAGTCTTTTCCCGGAGGATAGCTTGTCAACTCTTTAAATTTTCTCTTGTGCTGCATGAGCCTTTTAAGAGTCTTTCCTGTCTGATTGCCTGTCACATTCAATGCCATAGTACATTTGCCATTGGGAAACTGGTGAACTCAAGTATTGTTTATTAATGTATTGAAAATTCTAGATTTTAAGTTAGGGAAAAATAGGTGTGCTCTTCACTTGAATTAGCTAACTCAAATTGACTAACTTGAAGTAAAGTCCTAGTGAAGTTAAGGTAGGCTGTAGTTTTAACACAAGCTAGAAGATTGAGTTAAAGTCTATGAAGCAGCCTAGACTTTAACTTAACCTGCTAAATGTGTGTGAAAATGATAGTCTGTTAAGTCCTCACTAGAATTTTACCTCAAATTAATTAACTCAACTTGAGAACATTTTTTTCCCTTAGAAGACAAGATCCAAAGTTTAAGAGGTACCCAGAGTATTAGGGAAATAAAAATAAATATAGGCTAGCCAGGTGAGCAAGAGCCTTTAAATGTGGCCTTTGGAAAGGGAAGGCATAGAGCACTGCACATAGCTGCCTCTCAGAGGCAGCTTATTCCTTGGTGTCACAAGGAGGAAGGAGAAAATTTGTTCCTCTTGGTTTCTGAGGACAGGACAAGGAGTAATGGGCTTAAAGTGCAGCAGGGGAGGTTTAGATTGGACATTAGGAAAAAATTCCTAACTGTCAGGGTGGTCAAATATTGGAATAAATTGCCAAGGGAGGTGGTGGAATCTCCCTCTCTGGAGATATTTAAGAACAGGTTAGATAGACATCTGTCAGGGATGGTGTAGACGGAGCGTGGTCCTGCCTTGAGGGCGGGGGGCTGGACTCGATGACCTCTTGAGGTCCCTTCCAGTCCTATTATTCTATGATTCTATGATTCTATGATTCCTGAGAAATGGGAACTACCAAATGGAACCATCCTGTTACTGATTCTGTTCCCATGTGGTTTCTCAGTTGTACCTGAGTAGGGGACCCAGTGGGAGTTAATACAGCTGTACACTGTATTAGCTATTGAAAACATTTCCATATGGAACTCCAGTAGGTCTCTGTTGCATGTATTTCCACAGAGAAAAGCCTGCCTCCCATGCTTGCCCTGTTCCCAAAATGCTTTTTCGCAGCGGAGTCCTAATAGATGGGATTTCCCAAGAGGTGGTTTTGTAAGTGGCACTTTTCTCCCTTTTTGCATAAGCAAGATTTCCATAAGCACCATGTTCCTTCCTCGCATGCATGTACAGAGGGACTTGATACAAACAAAGGTGTATGTTGTATGCTGGGCACATTCTTTCTATTTCCCATGAAAACAGAAGCCCTCTTTTCATTTATATAATATCCCCTTACATGTGGGTGTTGACTTGTGCAGTATCATCTCATTGGCAGGATCACATATAATAATTTAGACAACTTAAATGAGTTGTTATTTCACATATTTTACGTAACCATCTCAGATATGCACTGTGATACATCCAGCTGAAGATGAAATTTAATTCCAGACAACCCTACTAATTCTGAATGGCAAGAGACAGTAAAGAGAGGCAAAGTTTTTTGTCTTTTCTTTTAAATTTGTAAGCCACTGAGATCCCCTGGTGATGGGCATGGTATAAAGTCCTAGATAGAATGATCCAGGATATAAAAATAATCATGTATTGATTTATTTTAATCTCTTCTCCATTTTATTTTATAACAGATCCTATGGGTATGCCAAAAATCATTTGGCTTGTTCTGATTGCATTTGTTTTTGTGCTTACGATCACTGTTGTTACCTACAAAGTATTCCAAGAAAATAAAAAACAAAAGGGTAAGTACTAAGGATGAAGCTATATAAAATTAAATCCCAATAGATTTTAAAAAGTACGTTCATCTTTGCAATAGGACTAACACTTATTTAAATACAGTTTAAAGAATTATGTTGTAGTTGTATTATGTAATACAACTAAAATAACTGCAGATGGAGGATTGGAAGGCTGAGAGGTTTGATAATGTAATTTTCACCCCTGGAGTCTAGGTTCAAATCCAGTACAGGCTGTCAGTGACTGAAATATGTTAGTGTAACACCAAGAGACTGCCCATATTAGCTCATGGCAGTGGGCAGGATTGAACTTGGAACTTCTGAAGCTTAGTACATGAGCCTGCCTACATTAAAAGCCAAACACCTCTGAGATAAGGCTATAGTGAACTCATTAATCTCTAAATGGTCTTAGTGCCACTGAATAGGAGAGACTACCACCCAGGAGGCGTGTGGGTTACATTAGCATTGGACAGATGCATGGTGGCCTATGTAAAATGAGCTGGTGGTCAACGTCCATTCTAAGAGATAGGAAACCACCATTAATGCCCTTGTTGAGTCACAACAGAGAAGCCGAAGCCTAACTAGGCACAGAAATAAAAATAGCCTCTGGCTCCTAAGGATGATCCCTCAGTTCAGGATTGAGGCAAATTAGGTAGATTTGATGAAGCATAGATTGCAGCTGCCTGTTCAGAAGACTGATAATCAAATTCTACCCTGGTGCAGTGCCATAGAGGTCAGGTGAATTGCACTTACTTACAGTGAAGCTTATCTTGGACCAAATGGCTGCAAGATGATCTCCCATCACTTGTTTTTAGTGTTGTTAATTTAGCACCTCGTATGCATTTTGAGTATTTTAAAAAGCATTTACTGTGCTGCAAGAGAGTTTGTCTTGAGTTCAAAGACCAAAATAATTTTCTAAACTATTGCTTCAATAATATGAGCTATATATATGGAATGATCCCTTCTGTCCTTCCCCCTCCCACCACCGTACATTCCATTGAGAACTAGACTTTTGGGCAAGTGACATAATGCCCACATCCAGTAACACTCTTCTGCATGAAGGGGTGTGGCTAGTTGTCCACTAGTATAGGCAGGTTTTTACTGTGTGAGAGACTACCAGAACTCTGAAACCAGCAGGTACAGAGGAGAGAACATACAACTCTTTTCACCAGCATGTAAAGAGTGTTAGTCATAGGGGTGTAGCCACAGATGGGCCTGAGTGGACTGTGGCCTACTGTCTTTGCATCCAAGCCCAACCCTGGAGTCCTCCAGGGCTTTCCTCATGCCCCAGTGCTTGTCCTGTTCTGCCAGCTCATTGGGTGCTGCAGCTGGGGAGCAGAGCCAGGCTGCTGGGTTTAACCCTGCCCCCGTCATTGTCCACCTACACAAATTGGCCCTTCTTGCTACACCACTGGTTAGTAAGCTAGTTTTCATCACACCCTGCTCACTAAGGCATCTGCCCAAAGCAGGCAGGATGCTTGTGAACATTACCACTCAGTAGTTATAGCTTTGTACTCTCCCAGGCTACATCTACACTGTGGAGCTATTTTGGGATACTGGATATTCTGCGTCTTTTGAGCAAGCCTGTTATTTTGAAATATAATGGGCTCACTATTCCAACGTCCCACAAGGACATCCCACAAGAATGAGTGTATCTTGTTCCACAAGGAATAAGGGATGTTTCAGAATAGAGCTCTATTTCAAAATTAACTCAAAATAAGCTACGCAATTTGCATAACTCAAATGCGTAGCTTATTTTGAGCTCTGGGTGCAACCCAGACACACCCCCAGTGATCCAAGAAACCTGAAACTAAGAAAAACCTGAATTTTTCATTACTCATATGACTAAAACAATATTATTTATGTGCATTTAGTTAGCCATCCTGCAACTGTGCACAGTCAGCCATTTCTGTAATAAAGGTATGCCATAAGATTCTGGCTTTAATCATAACTGAACAAGAGGAAGGAAAGTACATGCATGGAAAATGTTTATTTAAAGATGAACTGAAAGATTATTTAAATGAATAAGCAGAATTGACTGAGATTCTAAATCTGAAGCAAAAATTTTCAAGGACATTCAAGTTTCTTAGTTTCCAATTACTGATTTGCTTCTAGTATTATAATTTCTATTAACTGGGAATTATGATTTTAACTAGTTAAATGTAGAATGTTATATTTAATAAAAATCCACATTAAAATAGTGTTACGGTTGCAAAAGACAAGCACACAAATATTAGAAAATGCCAGAATTAAGGTTGCCTTGCTAATCTGAATTCAATCCCTTCATGCATATGCCTATAATGTTCAGTTAATTATACACTCATATGCTATTTTTTTCCACAGATCTCTGCCTCAGGATTGACAGTGCTCAGGGAATGAAGCAACTGTTCAATATTTTTATCCTCATAATTCAGTTAGTGGATTCTGGCCTTTATTACTGAATGCCATCCAAAGCATGCAATTAATACAGAAATATTCACTTCTTTCTAGACTTTTCTAGGTTTCTCCCACTGACTTTAGTTGCTGTTATGAGCACGCATCACCTTTGCATATCAAACCTTGAATGCCTTTAGTTAGTTTCTCAGAAAATGAGAAACACAGAGGCTATCTGCCAAAATTTTGGCTTTAGTGCTTTTCTTGGCATCACATAAGAATACTGCAGCAAAGGCAAGGACAGAACTGAATTTTCCTGCAGAGCATCCATCTACTTCAGGGCTATTCAACTTTGGAAATCCTAGGGGCCAAAATAATACTCACAGCACATGCTGAGGGCCACAATTTAAGTGTGGTTGCATATGCATGCAAATATATATGCAAATATATGCAAATATTTTATTTCACACTGATGAGCATGAATACAAAAATGAAGGCAAGAGTATACAACATACAGGCCCCATTTTAGTCAGTTTTGCTGATATTAATAAAATGCAATTGTGACGGGTTTGTTGTGTGCGAGCGCCCCCTCTCGGGAGAGCAGGGGCGTTCAGCGGAGCCACCGTCTAGGTCCTTGGTTTTGGGTCCCGAGGTCCGATCTCTCTGAAGGGGTCAGTGGGTGAGATCACCTGTCACCGGCCCAGCAACGGGGTTCAGCGAACCCACCTTTACGTCCCTGGTAAGAGTCTTAGGGTCCTATCCCTGATAGGAGTCTGGGGTTACACCCCCAACACAGGTCCTGGGGTCCTATCCCTGGGCATCCGCCCGGTAAGGGCAACAGCCACTAGGGTCCAATTTGAGGCTGCTCATGTCCGGGAACCCCAGGGGAGGCGGCGAGTCAACTCGATTATGATCAGAGGGGGGAGGGCAGGGAGTGGGGGACCTGGGCCCTCCCTCTCTACCGGGTCCCAGCCTGGGGCCCTAAGTGGAGGGATTAGCGCATTCCCTCCATGACAGGTGAGGTCAATCCTCGAAATTCGCCTGTCCATGGCCACCAGAGCCTAATCCGAACTACCTACTCCGTGCCATGTGTAGCCGCAGGCACGGAATCTGAACTACCAGGGCTTTAAAAATGGCGGCGCTCGGCAAGATGCAAATGAAGCCCGGGATATTTAAATCCCGGGCTTCATTTGCAACTTCGGTTGCCTACATTAACCACCCTAGTTCAAACTAGGGTGGTAGTGTAGATATACCCTCACAGAGTAAGAAAACAAAATGTCCGCCAGGAAAAAAAAACAACCCCAGAGGCCTTTTTTTTGCTAACCAACTTTGGTCTCCCGCCTTTTTTTTCCCCTCAACAGTGGTTTTTTTTTGGGGGGGGGGGGGGTTGGTATTTTTGGTTCAACCATCTGGCAACCCTAGGGCCACTTGTTGAGCCCTCCATAAATCCACAGGCCACAAACAAACGGGCTGTGGGCCACATATGGCCAGGGGCCACGTGTTGAATAGCCCTGGTCTACACTGTCCTGAAGACAATACTTTCACTTTCTGTATTCACTTTGCCTTCCTTTCTAGATACCTTCAAACTTCTGGGGCAAATGAGGCAGGGTTCCTACAAAAAGCTCAATCCGCTATACAATCCTAATTCTCCCATTTCCCAACTTCTGCATGCTTGAATTTGTAACCTAAATAAGGTTAATTTAATTGTGGATGCAATTCCTCAAGGTTTTTTAAAATCATATTCTGTTAGGGAATTGTTAACAGCCACCCAGGAAACAACATTAGCAGGGTGGAACTCTGAATAATCAACATTGCAATATAGTTTGAACTACAGAACTAACCACATTTGCCTATAGCAAGAGCTGGCAATTATCTTTATGAGGCATAGGGGAAATGATTGCTAGCATCAGGTATTTGATCCAAAAGGTGATCAAAAGTAATTTGCGTACCTTTTTCGGATTGTTTGCATACCTTTTTCCGATTGTTTTTTAGGAAGAGGCTTTTTCAAAATTTGGCCCGTCTACACAAGGCGAAATTTTGGAAAAACCTCTTCTTTCGGAAGAACCCTTCTTCCCTGTAGAAGGAAGAAGACAGGGCTTCCAAAAGAGCACATCGGTAGTCTAGACATAGTCTGAGGGGTATGATTCCTTCTTTACATGGTGCTTTCACAGAAGGAAACATGTTGCTGAATCCATGAGGAAGGAATGTTAAAAGGAAATTCAGACTGACTTTTCTTCTGCTTCCAGACAGGCTATCTATCCACAGAACTCCCAGTGCAGTATGTAATGCTTCTGTTTTGGCAGTGGTTTGGTTCTACCCTTAGATTGGAATATTCATTTTCAGCTAATATTTTGGCTGGCTGCCCAAGTTATCCTGTGGTACATAAGTAGCTGAAAGGAAAAGATAATTTTCAAAAGCGAAAAATGAAAGCAACTTTACTGGACAATAAAAAAAAAAGTCTGGCACCAGGGTTTTTGCTTCATCTAATTTCCCAGTCTTACTGTAAACAAAGGAAACATTAAAGCAGCTTTAAAAAGCCACAGAGCTCCTTTATAATGGAAAGCGTTAGGCAACTTAAATATAGAGGTTGCCGTGAGCTCTCTCAGTAATGAGTTATATGTATGTAATGATACAGCTGAAGATAAACTATTTTTGTTTTAATCAGGTAGGAAATATAGAGCAACAGCAGCTTCCATTCTCCAACAAAACGACTGCAAACACCCAACAGAATCCACAGCTACTAAAAGTATTCAGCACCTTTCAGGTGAGAAAAATAAAATTCTAACAAATTCTGAAACAGAGAGAAGGGCCAAGAAAGATCTTTTAAGACATTCTGTCTTACCACCTATATTTTGTAGAATTCTCACTTCATCTTTCACAACAGTGTGTTGTCTGTCCTGCTCTAGGACCTGGCACCATGACCACCTCTCATTAATATTCTTCATTGCTCAGTTATTCTCCGAAGTCAATGGGATTTTTGCTGTTGGCTTCAAAGAGAGCAGGAGAAACATAGCCATTGTTAAATATGCTTTCCTAATATGTAGTCTAAACACTTCTTTCCTTTGTTTCAAACAGTTTTTCCTTCTTTTGCCATCCTCTGAGACTGTGAATAACTCCTTTTTGCCTTTAAATTTGTACAGTTTAACAGACTAATCATATTGCTCTTGAATCACTTCTTTCCTAGCTGATAAATATTTAGCTCTTTCAGGTTCCTCATTTATTCTAATTCTAGTATGTTGCTCTGTTATTTATTTTTTCTATATTTTATATCTTTTTCTGAAACTGGGTAACTGAAACACGTTTCTTTCACATATGATCATTCTATATATAAATTGAAGAAGGCGATAACTTTAACACTGCATTGCACTGAGTACTCTTATTTAGGCCTAGATCCTCAGATTTCTATGAGCCCTGGTCTACACCAGGACCTTATTCTGAAATAACCCACCTCCCCAAGTTCAAATTTATAAGCAGTGTGTCCATATTACCAATCCTGTTATTTCGAAATAATGGGCTGCAGAATTCAAACTCTGTACTTCTGCTTTTCACAAGTACTTCCTGGGGTTCTAAGTCTGAGGTAGCGCATCCACATTAATGGAGCCTGCCTTGGACTAATTTTGATGCTTCCCCTTAGAAAGGACATGCTAGTTTGAATTTGTTAAATCGGGAGTTCTTAAGTTGAATTTAGTAATTTTGAAATAGTTTCCTAGTGTAGACATGGCCTGAGAGTTAGGTGCCTAAACACCTTTGAGGATCTGGGCCTTAGTATCTTACTTCTGCCCATAGGTCCTTTATACTCTTGCTGCATTCTAATTAGAAGTCTTCCATTTGTGTTTTTGTTTATTTATTATACCTGTCTTATTGTTCAGTGTGTTTGTAGAGCACCTAACAATAGATCTTGCTATAGGGCTGGGTGTCCTTGATGCTATATACAAATAAATATAATACCTAGCCCCATTGCATTTGTTAATGCTGAATTGCAAGCCTGCCTAATAAGAAATGGGGGACAACTTAAGATTGAAGAACTGTTCCCTCCTATCAGGGAGTTGGTTTTGGGAAGGAGGTAAAACAGGTCTGACTCACCCACCGTACAGGAGCTCATTCAGGGACTGGAAGGCAGGAATTGGTTCCTTCATGGAAGGAGACTGAGAAGAAATAATCAATTTGGGTGAATGCCCTCACAATCAGTGGCCTGCAAAGAGGCAAAAGGGGAGGGCAATGGGACACCATAACCACTTTGTTACCAATACTGCTGTCACAGCAGTTTAAGGAGCTTGTGTATTAGGACTGTGATGTTAGCAGTGAAAGTTATAGTCACAAGCCTGTAAGGGTTTGTAATGAAATCAGGCAGAAAAAAAAAAATCAATGTGAGTGGGCAGGCCAGGTATATAACCTTGCTACAAGAAATTAAAAAGCAGATGTATGGAAGGCATAGGATTCCAGGTATTCTCTACAAAGAGAAGAAAGTCATTGGTCATCTCTTGACTGACAAGCACTCTGTTTTCAAGTCAGCACAAATGGAATGGGCTAGCAAATAAATGAATCTCATGTCACATGGAAATAACTCCTGATCAAATCCTGTAGCTTTTCAAAGCACCACAGCAGGCCTTGCACTGGTGTAACTTTCTGTGAGCCATGTCCAGGAAAGGAAGGGCCACAAGGTGAGTCTACTTTTCTTTTGTGCCACTGCACACAAGTTCAGGGCATACCTGTAAAATGTCCCTCAAGTCAAGTGAAGAGAAACGGTTCAGTTGCAAAATTACCTCCTTCCCAAAGTTGGTGTTCATTCACTTTTATTGTTGAAAATCATATCTGAAAAATGAACTATGAAACTGAGGTTACAGAAAGACCTATATATGCTAAAGGAATGCTGCCCCAGCTTTTAAATTCCTTGCATCAATAATTATGTTGTGTTCCTTATTTTGGGTCCCTAGTTGCATAATGAATTCCACATCAGGGCCTTGACAAATAAGCATGGCAAGTGACAGACCTTGCTGGGCCCTGGATGGACAGGGCAGGACTAGGGCCAATCAGCTCTCAGCACTGCATGGAGTGCACCATGTCTCTCCACATACTTCCCCAGACAGAACCTTTTAAATCTCTGGGCCCCAGGGCAACTGCCTCCTTTCTCCCCCTCCCTCATCCCCTCCC